AGTTTTTCATTTCCAGACAATCTGACTGAAACGTAACCGGCATGGGAACAGTCAAACTTTGAAGGTTGATGGTATAGACGTTCGCGAACAGTACTGAGCATATTAACGCAAGATCTTATAGCAACAACTTCTAACGTATTTGAATCTCGCTTACCAAAGACAAAGCAAAAGACTACAATCGGTGGTCCAAATTACGATATATATTTCGGAACCAAACCGCGGATTGAAGCCGAAACTAAGCTAGCAAGTTATTGTGCATGACAGTGACACGACAGAGTACCAAATGGCGGGGATGCTTGACGTGAAGCCTTCAGCTAAACAAGTCGACTTAAAATCTAAGAGTCAGCATCCAACGTTCACTGATGATTCTTATGGTCACGATGTAATTCTTCTCTTAAACATAATCTATTACTATGGTGAATAATTTTGGGGAATTGTTTGCCGCTACAAAATCATCGACATACCTAATAAAATAGGCTTGATCAGTATGTGGCAAGTTAGGTAAGAAGAAATAAAAAACAGAGATAAATTGCTACAGGAAGTAAAGCAGTGGAAGACTTCACGTTATATACAGTTTACTGTTCCCGATCTAGCACATTGTGTCACAGAAAGCTCGTTTAACGGAGGGGGTTTAGGTGAAATGTTTACTCTGAGAAGGCACATCAAGCATACTTAGCACTTCTGTTTAGCCTGAAAACAGTATTATTCTGTAAGACAACACTGGCACTTAAAGTACCTCTTCCACGCTTATGTACAAATTGTTTAGGGTTGTTAAAAGTCTTCAATAAAGCTTCAAGGTTCAGTAAAAGTAGTTTTTCCGTTGTTTAAAAAAATGGTGTGGTGATGTTCATAGATTTATCTTTTACGTATGACTCATTTGATGATTTGGGCTCAGAAACAATCGCTATGTCTTTCCGGGAATCAGATACAGCATTTGCATACAACGATGGGTTGAAAATATGAGTAAGAGGGTGATATAAAATATTCGAACATTCTGTGAGGACAGCAGCCGACACGCTATCTGGATCTACTGACTGAGTGGGCTTCAGGAATTGCAGACATTAGAAAACATCACTTGTACTAAAATCAGGAAAGTGATCACTCTTTTCGTTTGCAGCTTCAGAAATCATAATATCTACTAGGCGACATATGAAGGACCCATTTAGCCTACCTGCATCAAATGAAGAAGGATCATTCATGTTTTGGTTTTCACTAGTAATTCCCTTCAACAGTTTCCACAATTTCGAAAAGTTTCTGTATGATAAGAACTTCTGATTGTAGATAATGCTTAATCTCTGTATTTCCTACTTGATTAAAGTGTTAAGTCTTTTTACACCAGGATTATCTTTCATTTTATGAAATTTTTCTGTTTCTCGACAAACATTTCGAGTTGAGAAGAGGTAAGATCCGTTAATTCCTTTTAAACTGTACACAGCGATGAAGGTAGTGCTCGTCATGCACCATGTTCTGGCTGTACAGTAGCTTCTGCTCCTTTGAATTCAACTGAACACAAACAATATTAGTTTGTTTATTACATATATCACACACTGTGTGAAACAGTATTATTTATTGGATGACGTTTCCAACAAAAGTTATTGTTCAGATTCATTTCATAACTTATAATCACACGACTTCAAAACTTGAGTTTTATAGTTTTCTTTGTCCTCTCCTATTCGTCGTTGTTGGGGTAGTAGAATTTTCCAGATATCTGGTACAGGCGTTGAATCACTCCTATTACATGTATTTGCAGTTGATTCGATAAACAAAGCTTCTGTTATCAATCTCTCCCTATACCCTGTGACATTAGATTTTAAAACTGTCATCTTGTCCAATCCTAGTGTATGGTTGTGTGTAATTGTATGTGGTGAGTGCTATAGCTGAACTGTTCTCCAGATTTCTAATCTTATTTGAGTCAACTAGTGTAGATTTTGCTAGGATTTTATGCTCAGCCCCTGTTCTACTGTGGTGAGAGCAGGCTGCTAGCCAATAAGTAGATATTAATTTACGTCAGTGTCTAGGTCACTAATATTGGCCGTGAGAAAATATGAACAAGGCTGTTTCAACAACCAATCACTTAACGTGAGCAAATAAGATTCGCAGTTATATGGCTTAATTTTCCGAGAAACCAGTCACCTTGAGCAAGAAACAACCAATCAGAAGACTGTGTTTGTCTGCTTGAATAAAGCTATAATTATGTACATGAAATATATATAAATACGTGCTGATTTCCTTAATAAAACGTTCTGTTGCCTGACTCTTGCCTTCTGTTGTTGCACTACCACTTTGACCTTTGTATTTGACCTGACAATCATCTCAGGCAAGGTATCAGATAAACTAAATTGTTTTGTTTTAAAGGCTTCAAAGGATCCTTTAACTGACAAAGCATGTTTCCAATTGAGTTTGTGGGTTTGAATGCCACTTTTATTCCCACCGTGCTAAGAATTCTGTAAAAGGTTTCCGAGGTTTCTTTCTTGTATGGAATTACTACTGACGATTTAGACTGCTTACAGTTGGTGTTGTCACTATCTTGCGCATGTTTGACATGCATGTCGCCATTAATATTATTACTGTCACCATTACTACTATTATTACTTATTTTATTTTTATTTTTACATTTCTCTACATACTTCCTGATTAGTTTATCAGGGTAATTATTAAGTTTCAAAGCTTCTCTTCTATGCCTCACTGCCTGTCTTAGATTTTCCTTTGTACTACTTCGTTTTTGTCCTTTACTACTTAGACATTTCGCCAATCCTGTTTTTACTGACATAGGACGGGATGATCGGAAGTCTAAATATCTCCTTGAATGTGTGAGTTTCTCGTAAACACTAGTGTTTAACTCCCCATCTTCTTTCCTTTTTACGCTACAATCTAACATTTGCCCTTTCCTGACTTTCCAATTCATAAGTGATATGAATTGCCGCAACCTTTGAGTTAATGTGTTCAAAAAATCTGTCTATATCCTGTGTTCTAAGTACAGTGACTGTGTCATCTACATACCTTCACCATAATTTTCGGCTGGGGGTGAACGTTTCAATTGCTATGCTTTCTCACCTATGCATGAATATATCTGCGACAACCGGCGATATTAGTGACCTCATGGCAACTCCATCAGTTTGTTTGTATATTTTCCCCTAGAGTTTAAATACTGTGGAAGTCAGGCCTAGCTGCACTCCCAGCATTATATCCTCAAGTGGCACTTTCGTCCTAAGTTCGAGTTCTTGGTCAGGAATGAGTTCATTTCTGACTGCCTGAGTAGCCATATTTATTGGTATACGTATATATAAACTGACAATGTCAAAACTAACCATTTTTTCTTCATCATCCTATTTTAGATTATCTAATCTATGTTTTAGTTCATAAGAATTTGCCAGTCTAGATAGGAATGATTCAACGCCTATACCAGATATCTGAAAAATTCTACTACCCCAACAACGACGAATAGGAGAGGACAAAGAAAACTATAAAACTCAAGTTTTGAAGTCGTGTGATTATAAGTTATGAAATGAATCTGAACAATAACTTTTGTTGGAAACGTCATCCAATAAATAATACTGTTTCACACAGTGTGTGATATATGTAATAAACAAACTAATATGGAATTAACTTACTATCAAAGTGTCCAAGTTTTACTAATAGACTAAAGGGCGTCATCTCAGGTGTACCCATGCTGACTGTATATTCTTTATTTTTTGTGAAAAATGTTTCGGAAACTTCATAAGACAGTCTACTAGAGGAGAGCTTCATAGTGACTTTTTATCACACAATTTGAATATGTACAGATTTGTAGTGTGAAACGCATTTTTCGATATTCCGATGACAGGGGTTTTCACACAAAAGTATGTCTGTAAGTCTAAGAGTTTGAAAATATATTCAAAACAGCTTGATAGCTTTTAGGATCGCTCTGATGTTCTTCTTGATAACCTCAACTTTTCCCTGTTATGGAGAAGTTTGTTGTAGTCTACATCTAAGACATTTATATCACGCCAAACGTCTTTTGCATAATTACATGATCATCCGTCAATAATTTAACAATTCAGAAGAAATGCAGACGAAATGATATCAGTATTGTCAATAATACTATGAAAAATATCTCAAAGCAGAAAGCATCTGTATTAAAACAAGTAATTAGAATTTAATTGGTGGATGGTGGCTGGCAGTGGAATCCAGGATGCGCATTCCGTCCTATTTGGGACTCGTCAGATGGATGCACCTGCATTGCCCGGTGAGTGATGATGCTCCCACCGAGGTTCGAACCCATTTCGCATCCTAGATTCCACTACTATTCACCATCCACCAAGTGAATTCTAATTACATGCCCAGACATCGTTGAAGCATCTGCACAAGAAGCATTTCTGTCCAATCAATAGAGGGGAATGTCTAAAATTCAATTTAAAAAATAAGTAATTATACAGTTTTAAGTGATTGGCGTCTAGCTAGCATTTCCGAGGGACTTTTGCCCTTCGAGATGGGAAAATCCACGACTTTGATTCACTAATCAGTGGTAGCTAAGGCTATCGAAATGAATTACCACCCATTGACAGGAAAATAGACAAGCTCTTAGAACACGTCTAATATTTCAACAAGCTTTCTCCGTGACTGGATTCTTCTATTGAGAGTCATGTTTTCAGTTGCAGAGACTTGTAATTGTGAAATTGACGGATAGATATGCTTCTTATATGTTTCATTTACTGAAGGACGTTCTTAAAAAATTAAAATAAAATAATTTCGAGAAGTATTCAGTACTCAACTCATTTGTCAGCAGATTTATATTCTTTTTATACCTCAGGAACAAAAGAAATAAAACTGACTTAATAATTTTTGAAAACTATTTGATTAGGTGTATCTATAATACACAATTTGTTTTGAGAAATATCATTAATTGGTTACAATCACCCAATCATACTCTTACTTCATCTACAAGCGAACCAATCAAAAATGAGTAGGCTTAGTATAAATTAATCCACAAAGCAATAACTCTAAATTTTTTGCTATGAGAAGGAAATTACCATGATAATCAAAAGATTTAGAATGTCAAGAATAAAATATATTCTTCTGTATTTCAGCGTCTGCTTCGCAATCACATTCTTTCTCATGGCTAATGTGTTACACAGACCATCATCCGACACCAGACAAGTGAAATCATCCGCCTTTAAAAGGAAAACAAAAACATCTGTATTAAGCAAAATTACGAAAAATCAACTACATGTAGCATGCTTTGTGGAATTACAAAATGAATTACGTAGCCTCCAGTTATCAGATGTTATTCATCCAGAAAAACTGAATCGTATAAAGCTTGAGAATTCTCCATACTTTGTTACACAAGAAACATGCGAAGATATCTGCAAAAAATTACCAGTAATACCAGTAAATATGACTGACAAATATAAGCCAATCGGTAATTTATCTGCAGCTATGAAACTGGAAGCAGATATTCATAAAGTGATTGAATCAAATCAACCAAACATTCCAGGTGGTGGTTGGACATACAAGGAAAGAAATCAATGTACAGATAAGACTGGTAAATATAATCAAACTAGCGTTGCTATAGTTATAGCATTTCGTGAAAGATGGATTCAGTTAACAAGTGTTTTATCAACTCTTATACCATTATTACGCCGTCAAAGATTATGCTATCGTATATTTGTTACTGAACAAGCTGGAACTGATTTATTTAATCGTGGCATGTTGTTTAATGTTGGCTTTATGGAGGCTATACAAAGATTTCATTTTGACTGTGTTACATTTCATGATGCTGATTTAGCACCAATCAATGATCTTAATCCTTATGGTTGTGATAAACAAACATTTGAAATGCCTATCCATCTTGGCGTTGGTTTAGATATACGTAAATTTCGTTTAAACTATCCAAAATTGATTGGTGGTGTGCTGAAAATGTCAAATCAGCATTTTGTTCAGGTGAATGGTCATTCAAATTTGTACTGGGGATGGGGTCAAGAAGATGATGATTTAGAAAGACGACTAAAATATGTCAATATTGGTTATTATCAAATGCCATCAAGTATAGCACGTTACAAAGCCTTACCACATAAAATACAAAATAAAGATGGAAATACTAGAAGAATACATTTGAAACTTTTAGCAACAGCTACAGAGAGAATGCATTACGATGGACTTTCATCACTGTACTATAAAGTTTTACAAGTAACTGAACATAAATTGTTTACTCATTTATTAGTAGATTTAGGCAAACAACCAAATTTTTATAACTGTTAACCATTGAACATTTAACACAATTGTTGATTTAAACAAAAAGGGGTAGTAAAATTGACTACCGAATAAATATACATAATATAACAAAATAAATCAGGTTTAGGCAGGAAAGTTCCACTATGTAATGTCATTTTTAATAACTGTTTATAACTAGGTTGACTCTTTCTATTCTTTAGAAGCTTATAAATTTGAGCAATATTATTGTGTTTAATAGTGTGAAATATTTCCATATCATGAATTTTAAAGTCAATCTGAACGAGGAATAACTGGCCATTATTGTAACGACAAAAAATATTACATTTTATAATTGTAAGAACCTGAAACGGAGAAATTATTGAAAAGAATACTCTTCGTTCAGATTGACTTTTAGTATTATTGTTGCCATCAAGCCAACTAATTTACTTAGGGTGGCATCTTTTACAAAAATTAAATTTACATGGCTTTTAAGAATGCAAACAGTTTCGCGAATACTTACAAGTGTTCACATGGTGTGTTATAAAATGAACATCAAGCTGTACATTATCACATATCTTTGCCAATTTAATTTTCTTATTGGTTTCTCCAAATAGTTTTTTTTAAATTTTAGGATAAGTATTATGGTAAAGGACAGCATTTATATATATATAAGACAGTTTCTTACAGCATTTACTGTAGTGAATGTATATGCTTTCAAGAATGTAAATACATAGTCGCATATATGATAAATATTTGTCATATTATTGATCATAAAACATACAATATTTGTAGTTTTTTTTGAATAAGACATTCTGATTATTTTATTATTATTATTATTATTGTTATTGAATTAAATACATAAGTAGATACACATTTTGAATGATTGCTTCATATTCTTTGATACAATTTAAGTAGTTTATTGAAAAGGGATAAATAGTTAATTTATAGGTTTGATCACTAGATAACATAGGTTAGAGAACTACTGGTGTACCGAACAGCTGCTTCGTTCTGATTCGAGCCTCTTCAGCAGCACACAGTGACTGAGATTCAAACTCACAGCTTACAGATTAAAAGGTGAGCTCGTAAACCATTCAGCTATTCGATCCAATGGCCCATGAATTCCGTCCTCTGCTGGTCATATATATATATATATATATATATATATATATATATATATATATATATATATATAGAGAGAGAGAGAGAGAGAGAGAGAATAAGGAAGGGAGACAGGAAACACTAGCTATTGTCGTAGGTGGGTAGCTGTTCTATTACCTGGCTTGGTGAACATCACTAGTTTTGACTTCTCACTGGAACTTCAGATACCTTCCTTTATGCAGCCAGTCACTAGTGGGCATCATATTAATTACCAATTATTGGTAAGCACGGATTTGCTATATAAATGATTAATTTCTTGATGAAACTTATTTGTAAGCATATCTTCCTGGCTCTTTATAACTCCATTTTCTTGTGATTAAGACATAATTTAGTAGTTAGCATATTTTATACGATGATCAGGTGAGCGGGATAGTAAATTCGAACTGGTCGCTTTCTCAATTACGATAGTAGTTAACCGTTAACAAGTAGATTGTAGATGACAAATGATCTCAGATGCATATGGTAAATAAGTAAGAAATCGGATGAATTGATCAGTAGTCAGTATCCTAAATCAATAAACGTAAATAACGACTACAATGACGTCTAGAAGTTTGATTATGCGAAAAAAAATTGTGTAAAGGCTTGAGTTTAGAAAAGGTATTCACTCTTCGTCACTTTAACTTGAAGTTACTGCCCACTTTTACTTGAGATGAATCTAGACAACTTATTTATTTGTATAATATGAGTGAAAGTGAACTGCAGCAAACTGATTATTCTTAAAGTATCATCCTTTATTTATTACTTATTATTTTATCCCTTTGCGTTCTGAGTAGGAAATAGTGGTTCATGCCTGACCACAGGCTGTATTAGGTTTAGAAGTGCAATGGTTGAGAATTGAACCCATGATCACGTGCACGTTTCACGAGCAGTCTGCCACTGCTTCGCGGAAGTCCAAAATATCATCCTTGACTTACAAGAAAATTAGAACTTTCGACTCCTTAGTGGTCATAAAATATATTTTGTCCACGTAACTTTACGCAACTTTCTATTGACTGTAACAGGATAACTATCATACGTCTGTTGTCACTGAGTGTAAGTAATAAAACCTGACGAGATATAGCATATTACTAGGCTATTCAAAAACACTGAAATGAATATACCTAAGTTCTAGCTCACTCACAATCTCAACTATTTGGGCAGTAAGAATGAGTATTTCTAGTTTTAGTAATTGTGTAACAGCAAGGCAGATCTAATGTGATCATGAAGCACACTTCACTTTGTATACTGAAATCATTGTTACAATTTCCTAAAATGAAAAAACCTCTTCTAAGCTATTCATCTCAGTATTGTGGTAGAATACAGGCCTACGTTTGACATTTGTTAGAAAATATATGCATATATGCACTTCTTGAAGGTTGAGTATATATCTTTTCTATGAGTTTTGATGGATGTGGATCTTGGCATCATGATTTCATTTTCATGAAACCTCACACACCAAGCATTAACAGTTGGTAATGATGGTAATACTTTACACTGCAAGGAAGGTGAATTTTTTCTCCACAAGCCTTTATTCAAAGCGATCATTGGTCAGTAGCTTTATTCTATGTTGAAGCACTTGTTTTGTATAATGTAGTCCTAAGTAACAATAAAACTTGACGACGGTGAGATCCAGAACGAGTATTCCGTCCTATGTGGGGCTCACCAGATAGGCATGTCAGCATCACTGAGCGATGCCACTCCCCCTCAGGATTGACTCCCTCCCCCAATCATGTCAATACATACCGAACATTTCAGTCTACTAAAATCAACCAACGGTAAATTCAAAGTACACACCTTTATAAAGAATAAAACTTCCTGAAATAGAGAAAAGAATTAGATGCAAGGTGATTTTTTTGTTATCTTATTCATGATATCATTACTGATAATTATTACCGGTAATACCATCTTATGAATTTCTGTGTCCTAAACATTCCTTTGAGTTGTATGCTTAAACTGATGGGTACCTTGATTTGCTTTCCTTTTTAAAGTTGTAAACTTGTGAATATATAAAGGTAAGTCTTAATGATTAGTCTAGGTACATTGGCCGTACTCAGACGATGCTTTCCATACGGTTATGACAGCCCATTTCATGATGTTTTCATGAGGAAGAAAGTAAGGGTCTCAGAAGATCCATTCTACGACTCCTAGTCGACTTCTACCAACCAATTAGTCCCGCCAATGACAGTAAGGTAATCGGTATATTTTATGCAAGACTGCAGCGCTTTATTCGTCTCCAACCGCTAAAAACAGTGTAGGCCTCAGCTACTCATTAATTAAACCAGACTTCTGGGTATAAAAGAAGTATAAACGGTCCCCATTTCGTGCCTGGGCCTAAGAGAGATAATGGCATTTATTTATTTTACACTTTATTTAATTAATCTATGTACTGTCTCAATATTGCTGTTATTGTTAGTGTTGTCATTAACTCTAAACAGTTTTTAGTGTTATTACACTTGTATCCTCTGGTTGTTTTATTTTTTAACTTCCACAATGTGAAATTCAATCGCATCTAATCTTGCGCTTTGTTACACATTAACTTATATATCTAAAAATGTTTTCGATTTTTAAAAGTTCCATATTTATACTAGGAAGTTTTGTTATTTCTTTCCAATGATCAGTTTTTGTGAGTAATTCAAGCAAACTTTGTATTAAATGAATCTTTTTCTCAACTTTATTAAGTTTTATTTGGGACTGGGATTCATGGTTTTAAAAATTATTATTATTATTATTGTTTCCTTGGGTTCCTAGTGGAACATAGGGCTTCACCTGCATGTCTACACTTGCTTCTGTCTCTCTTCTGCTGTACTTTTCACCTGCATCCATGTTAGTCCATACTATTTCAACTCCTTTTCACACGATCTCATCCATGTTACCCTTGCACTGACGACCTACTCACCGCCTCCCTTTCGGGTTCCACTCGAAGGCCTGACGCGCGATGTCACCCAGCGGCAGGGTATTGAATGATTGTAAACTTCCTTCCTTTTGAGTTGAACCTGGCTGTCATTATTCTGGAGGAGATTGGTTCCCACTGCATGAGAGCTTTGGCTGCTGTTGGTGACATCATGATGGCCACTCCCTCGATGTGCTCGTGATTGTCCTCTGGGTGATCGAAATAGATTATTGTCTCTACAGTTGATAGTTGGCACCTTCCACATCCGTTCAATCTGCTCTCGCAGATTCCCAACACTTCTATTCTATATCTTCTCATTTCTGCAGCTACCTGGGCAGCCTTTCCGGCTTCGTACATTGTATGAACATTCCACGTTCCTATCCGTATTTTTGCTTTCATCGAAAGAAAGCAGATCGGCTGACTGGCTTCCCGAAGGCTTTCACCAACCTGCGTCATTTCACTTCCCTGGTTCAAGCGAAAAATAAGGTTATTGTTTATATTCTTAGAAATTTTAATATATTTGTGCGCTGAAGTGTCTGTAGCAATTTGGTTAAGTTTTGGGGGTGCAGTTGTACCCCAACCCTGCCTCTTTATCCGGGCTTGGGACCGGCTAGAAAACTAGCGAGCTAGTAATCTAGACGAGGTTGGTTTTCAAAATATCCGCTAAATTTCCTACCACACAGTTGTTTAAAATGACAGAAATTCCCAAACCTAACAGATATGAGGATGCCTTAATAGATTTTAGGGCACTTTACATACAAACTTTGCTAGAACGGTGTTAAAACAGATCCTAAATTTAAGTGAAGTCAAGTAATTAAAAAATGTATAATACGATTCCAGGGTGACAGCTATCCAGAGCCGTTAGTGAGTGTTTATCCCCACACCTGACTTGGTGGAGTCTACTGGTCGCAAAAACTTACCAGAATTTCAGGCAACTTTGTCAACTGGTCAGTTACTCTAGCAAGGATCAAATACATTCTCAAACGTTAATTTGTTTTGATTTGATTGGTCTCAAGTTTGGTCACAGATTGATATCAGTTAGAGAACCATGGCAGTTGCGCTGAAATCCCGAGTCGACACATCATTGACTATGGAACTCCATTTCAAGTGTCTGAATGGCTGACAAGGTTGACTTAGTAATATGAAGGTCCTGGGCTCGATCCCTGTTGAAGTCGTGGGTGCGTACTGATGAAGTATTCCAAACTATGACGAAACAGATGTCCAGTACTCTCTGGTTTTCTGTGGTTCTCTAACTAAATTCAGTTCATGGTCAACCTTGAAATGCATCAAATCCCTACTAACCAACTGTTGATAACCCTAGGTGTAATAAGTCAAGTCAATAAAAAAAGACGCGCGTAACTTGAGAAGAAAATTTGAATGCAGGTGTTTTGTGTTTAGTGATACAAGACAGTGCTAACAAGATAAAAAGGCTGAACAAGCACAACGATTAAGACTCACGCCGACCATGCACACGGTTTGGGGTTCGATTCCCTGCCGACTCCCACCTGGTATCAAAGTTCGGCCTGCAAAATTTGGGATAACGATATCACATGCTGAAAATTCCATACTTTTACCAAAAATTCGGTGTGGAATCAAGCCATTATATATATATATATATATATATATATATATAAATGGTAT